GTTGCAGCGGGCGACGCGGCGGGTGATGTCGCGGGCGGCCAGGCGCATCTGCAGCTGGCCCTCGTTGTACTCGCGCTTGAGCAGCAGCATCTCGCGCTTCTTGGCCTCGATGATGCGCTTGATGCGGTCCAGCTCGGCGTTCTGGCGCGGCGCGTCGGCGCGGCAGTTGGCCACGTACGGCGAGTGGTCGACGGCCCACTTCTCGTACCGCATCCAGTTCTTGTCGTCGACGGCCATGGCCGACGCGTGCAGCAGGTCCGTCGACCAGTACGCCGTGCCGCCGCCCGTCGACAGGAGGGCTTGGGACAGCGCCCCCATGACCAGGTCCGCCATGACGGCCTGCTGCGCCTCGAAGATGAGGAAGATGGGGAACTGCTTGGCGCGGAAGCCGCGCCCGGGGAACAGGGCGTTGGCGACGGCCTCGACCAGGTTCATGAGGAACTTGGCCGACGAGTGGGCGTCGTTGGCCGCCTCGCGCGCCGCGTAGTTGACCGTGTAGCCCACGTCGACGAGCGGGAAGCGCAGCGGCTCGGCCCACTCGCTCGTCGGCGTCTTGTCGAGGCGCGAGTGCAGCTTCTGGCAAAACATTTCCAGCTCGGCGATGCGCGCCTCGGACGGCGTGGCGTAGGCGTTCTCGTACGACGCCAGGTACTTGCGGCGCCCGGCCTTGGACAGGTTCTCGTTCCACTTGTCCGGGCTCTTGTACGTGTCGACGCACAGGGCGAGCTCCCACTCGCTGGTGCGCGAGTAGCGGCGCAGGGCCTCGATCACGTCAAAGAGCTCGGTCGGGCTGGGGGACTGGTTCAGCTCGTCGACGAGGACGCGCTGGTAGATGCACGGCTGCGCGGCGGCCTGGGCTCGCAGGCGGCCGATGGCTTCGACGGTGGCCGAGTCGTGCTCGGCGTCCCAGGCCAGGTTGCCGTCGAGCAGGGCGTGGAGCACGCTGTTCTCGGTCGAGGTGAGAATGTCGTAGCAGATTTTGCTGACCGAGGGCACCTTTGAGCCTACGAGGGTGTCGCAGCCGCGGGCAATGTCGCGCAGCAGCAGCTCAATCAGCGGGTTGTAGCCCTGCTTGAGCGCGTTGACGTACTCGTCGCGCGTGCGGTCGCGCGGCTGGATGCTCTCTACGTGAAAGGGGGACTGCGGCCTGGTCGACTCGGCGCCGGCGTCTGCTGGCTCTGCTGCAGGTGGTGCGGCCGGGGCGGTGGATGCCACGACGTAGCGCACGCTGCTGGACTGCAGCTCGGCGTCGTCCTCCTGCTCCGTCTCGGCCAGCCGCGCCGAGTCGTGCTCCTCTGCTAACCGCATGCTGTACTCGAGCGTGTGGCAGGTCAGAACTGGGCACCATGTTAGTCTCGTCCGCAGGTAGGCCACGTGATTTGGGTGATTTGGCGGGTGATTTTGATCTTCAAGGGGCACGGTTTTTGATTTTTTTTTTTTTAACTCGAGAATTCGACGTGCGCGAGTGACTTGAGTTGAATGGTGAGTGGAGTACTGACCCTGGGCATCGTCGGCGTCAAAGTGGGCTGGTTGCAGGCGGATTCGCTTTGCCGAGTTGTCGGATTGCATCGAGGCCTGGGTAGACAGCGAGTCGGAGGACCGCTGGCGCGACGAGGAGAGCGAAGCCATGGCGGACATTCAGGCCAGATCCGGCGGGTTTGGGAGAGGGTTGAAGCAGACGGCTGCAGAGGTGGATAGGAGAGGATGAGATGAGGTGGATGGGTGGGTGGGATGCCGAGACGAGGTGGTGGGATGCGGCGGTTGGGATGAGGGTTCGGGGGGCGTCTGGCGTTGAAGGGAGGGATATGGATAGAATGTCGTGAGAGAGAGACGGGAAGACAAGGGCGGAGTGAAGGGACCGACGTGGACGGGGTTTGTATGTCAATGGTGGTGAGGGCTGCCCTGGTGGAGGTGGAGGTGGAGCTTCCTTTGCGTAAGCTCGCGGGGCCCGTGGCCAGAAGAGAGCAGCGCGCCGCCCCGAGTCAGTCAGACTGCCTTGCCTGCATTGTAGTACCCTTCACCACCACGGCACCACCCTCTGTCCCCACCGCTACATACTATGCTACCCTCGACGGGAGTCCTGAATTTCAGACGCTGCCGTCTTTGTTTGACCGGACTTATCTTCTCCTCGTCTGTCGTCTCCCCGCATCTGCTGTCTACTGTCTCCTGCGTCCTGTCCTGTCCATACTCGCTGATCCGCATGACGGCTCCATTCCTTGCGGGCCCAGACCACCAGTGAGTGTATCGCGAGAAGAGAGTGTCGGATGGCACCGAATGGCTATTGGACACGTTGAGCGAGCGGCGTTGTATATACAACAAACTCGCCCGTCTGTTTGCTCCATCACCTTTCAAGGTTATGTGGATGGTCGACCATCATCTGTCCATCCATCCCTATCCTCCATGCCTCCCTATCAGTGCATCTGGCTCTTATCAGCGTGCATGCAGTGGCAGTTTTAGGGCGTCCCCTTTGTAGTCATGTGCAGAGTGATCTTCGACGACTACCACCAAACACCGAGCCCTCCATCGGCTTTGTCCTGCTTGTCGGCGGCAGAGGCAGACGAGTTGGGTTGAGCATTTGACGGGCACAGGCAGCGTTGGTATTGTCCGCGGTCAAAGAAGAAGTACACAAACAAAATGCCCTCGACTGTGCCTCGACTGCATTCCCCCCGTCGAAGCTTGGCATGGCGGCCGTCGTCCGATGCCTTGGCGGCCTTGCGTTGGAGCAGACGCAGTAAAGAGTTACAGACTGTCGCTCGGCTAGGTACCGGTAGGTATGAGTATCGTCGGTCGTCATCATCAAACGAAACGCGGCATGCGTCATCGCTGCGACCAAAATAAGCCTCCAAATGTCCGTCGTCGTCGTCGAGGTGCGTGCGACTGCAGTGGGTGCGTGCAATAACAATGCGACCGACCGACCAGACCAGCACCTATGCCTCCTCCCTGCAGGGGGATCGCAGCTCTCCGTCTCCACCCGCTACTCCACCACCACCACCACCACCACCACTCCCTCTCTCCTCCCAGTTGAGTGCCCGTCAACGAAGACGACCACGACGCCCTTCATCATTCTCCCAGCCTGCCCTGGCTCTCGATGCGCTTCCCCGAAACAAGCCCCCACGTCGCCTACCACCTCGTCGTCGCTCCCTGTCCTGTCTGCCGCGACCCAAAGCACCACCGCCCTCTCGATCCCTCCTCGTGTCGCCCTCCGCGTCTCTTCTCCATCCCCATCTCGACCCACGCCGTCCACGGTCGAGACCGTCCGCTGTCCGTCGTCTCCAGCGGCACGAGGAGCACAGTCTGCGCATGTCCTCCACCGCCATGCTTGTCTCCATGCTTTCACTCACGAACTCCTCGCTTAGCCATGTATAGTACATACCTAGCCGCGCCGCGCCCTCAAACTTCCCTCCCTCTCTCAATCCGTCATCTTTTACGTACCGCGTACCGCCGCCGCTCACTCTGCTATACCACAACCAGCCGCTCTCCGCTCCCGTCAGCCTCAGCCTCGGATCCAGACAATTCCAGCCTTGAAAGCTTTTCTTCCTGATCGCCACCGTCCGCCCCATCCATCCATGTGGCGCCGTCAGTCCGTCTCCCTCGTCTGGCGGCTCTGCGGTTGGTAGGTACTCGCCGCCAATGCGATCGCGATGCCCAGCCAGCCACCCGCCCGCTCGCACGCGCCCGCTCCCTCTGCGTAACTGATCGCCGTTGATTGGCCTGGCCTGCCCGAGCACTGACGGGTGGTCGGTCGGTCGGACACGAGCACCAAGGTCGGAGCGGAGCGGAGCGGGCGGCGTAGGGCAGGAGACAACGGGCTGTTGGAGACGTTTGCGCGCACAGTTTCCTCGCGGACTGAGTGCAGATGAGGTGAGGGTTGGACGGTGGATTGTGCGGTGGAGGGAAAAGGTCTCCTGAGCGCTGGAGACGGCGAATGTCAGTATCTCAGGGCTTGTAGGTAGGTAGGCGCGTCTTTTACTCAGACACGACGAGTAGGCCATCAGACTTCATGCCATGTAGTCCAGTCCATATGTAGACTCCCTATCTTGTACCAGGTACCAGTCGGTAGGACCATACACACAACCCACCGCCCACACCACTTACCCATGGACTCTTTCACCGCAGCACCCACCTCAGCGTCGGCGTGAACTCAGATATGCCCTGCCCTGCCCGAGCACGTCAAGACAATCGAGTCCATCCCGAGTCCGTCACAGCTGACCTCCAGCCAGCCATCCCCAGCTCCGCACAAAGCAAGCGCACTGTCTTTCCCCATTCTCTTCATCCCCTGCCTCACCGCACGAGATGTGCGCCTCACCGCACGGCCTCGCCGGTCACTGCCAAAACAGAAACCGCCTCACGTGTCTTCTCCCTCCACTACAGCATAGCACACAGTCCAAACGCTCCCACAGCTCCCGCGTATGTAGGTATCTTCCTCAGCCGATTCGATCTGCATCCGCATCTGCAATATACCATCTACACACAAAAACCTTGCGAAACGGATACGCAAGTACTCATGACAGACAAGAACAGCGCGTTGGTCGCGTACAAGCACGCTTCTAAGGCCCCCTTCATCAATTCTTTAACACAGGGAAAACAAGTCGTCCCCTTGTAGTCATGGACTGGATGAAAAGAAAAGAGTACCTGCTGCAATCGTTTTCGGTTTTAAAAGGAAAACAGAGTTCAAGACGGGGCGAAGACGGGAGCTCCGGAAATAAAGCATTTACATAAACTCATGAGCGAGAGAGATGTCCGAGTGCGAGGGCCTTGGGAGCGGTGGGTGGATGGATGGATGGATGGATGGATGGATGGACGGCAGTAAGAGGCACTGAGAAGACGACGCTGAAAAATACAGGTGCTGCAGTAGTGAGTACTCCAGTCTTCAGTACACATCTATCCATGCAAGAGGACAGCAGAACCAGCGGTGGATCATGGCACCACCATGGTTGCTCTAGATCCCCTGACGCTCTGGCAAGAGTATAAATTTTATCAGTGAGCAGAGTTTTCAAAATGGCCGGTTGGCGCAATGGTAGCGCGCACCCCTCCTATCATGTGACCCGTAAATTATATATTACGGTACATTACGTGCTTAGTCAGCCAGGGTGAGGCTGTGCGTTCGAGTCGCACATCGGTCGAATTCTTTTCGTTTTTTAACGCCTCTGAAATTTTTTTTTTTCGTTCTTTTTTGGTCGGGAGGGACAGGGGGCATGCAGAGGGGATTTGGAAGGGATGGTGAGGGGGCGGGGTGCGTGGGGATGCCTGTTGTCGAAAGGAACCGGTCCTTTTTGGGGGGGTTTTCTTTGGTGGAGGGGGCTCGGCTATGAGAGGTCGGACAGCTACCTTAGCGAGGTATGTGGTGCATGCCGGGCGAGGGAAGGAAACCCCCTTTTCTTTTACCTTTGCACCAGCAGGCGACAGTCACGACTTGCGGTACAAGTAACGAGAACAGCATAGACATTCAAGAGCCTGGCATGCAAGGGAAGCAATCGATTCCTACTACCACGAAACTGACACACCACCTCCCTCCTCCCGCACAAATACCTGCTGGCGCCACCATGCAGGAAGCTTTCAAGAGCAAACCTCCACCAGACTGACAAGAGAAAATGCCCGAAGAGTCGACGTACAGGGAGCATCCGTGAGCAACCGTCAACCGCACCGATCAAGACAAAAACCAGTACACCCACCAGCTTCAACCTCTGTTCTCCAGCTCGTGGAGTCGGCGGCGTTTGGGCTGCTGCTCGTCGATGTCGTCGATCAACGACTTTTTTCCGCCGAACCCAAGCAGGCCTTGGAGGTAGTGTGGGATACCAAGCGGGCCGGGCTTTCCTACTTCGATGCACGGCGGAAGATCGGAGTCGAGAGAGTCGTTGCCAAGTTCGATTCCCGGTCCCTCCAGTAGTACATGCGGTCCGCCACGGAAGAGATCGTGGCCCGAGTTCGTTTTCAATGGCAATGAATGTGGAAGCTCAGGCGGCTCGTGGACGTATTCGATTCCCACATCCGCGACGACGCCCTTAACCAGTCGTCCTCCGGGTTCTTTGGCCAATTGTTCATGAACGCGTTGAACCCTTCGGCTAGAGGTGTTCGTGAATTCAGCGTCGGACCAACCGTCTTCGGCCTTACGCCTCTCGTGAAGTGGGTCGCTCGTCGGTCGATCTCTGATGTGTTTGACGAGATTTGGCAGTGAGCTCTATCCCTTCTTGTCCTGTGGACAATAAGGGCAGCGCCAAAGACCCTCTGGGTTGGCCTTATGGAGCTTGGTTTGACGGCGGTCCCAAATCGCGCGGCGACTGTGGAACTGGGTTTCCTGATGGTCCAATAGCTTAGCTTGCCTGTCCCACACGTGCTTCTTATACTCTTCACTGACAGTCTCGTCGGCCAGACAAAGGGCGCATCTCTGGTCTCCGTCGGTCCAAACACCTCGCGGTCCCGCCAGCGAGTTGTTGAGGGCATGTCCATGAAAGTCTTGGCCAAATCCCTGAACGGGACTTTGGGCTGGCCCAGCTCGCCGTCTTCGTCTTGGTCGACGTTGAACCGAAGTGTAGAGACTCCCGAACGGCAAGCAGCGTCCTCTAAATCTTCGTCTCGACCAAGCACTCCGTCGTCATCGTCGTTGGCGGCGTCGACCGTCTGTTGATTTTCGTCGTTTCGGTCGTCGGCTGCGACGACATCGGCAGCGCGTTCAAAGATGGACTTAGGGAAAAGACTGGCCTTGGCTGCGCCGACGCGGTCGAGAAAATCGGCATGCGTCATGGTGGCCTTTTGCATCTCCCTCTCCTGAGCCTCGAGCTCTTTTCTGGCCTTCTATTGTATCCTCCTACGATACGTCTTGAGCTCTGCGGGCGTGGCGTCGCAAGGGTAGTCTGGGTCGGCGTTCATGAGCACATTGGTGTACGATGCCACGGCCGCTCCGGGTGTCCCCTGAATTTCATGATTCTCCAGGGATTCATGGGCTAAAGGAGCCCAACGTCGAACAAGATCGTCAGAATGAGCGCCAGCTTGTATTACCTTCTCCAGCATGACAGCCGGAAAGTGATGACTGTCTCGGAGGAGGCCAAGCACGGGGGAGCAAAAGAGATGATGACACCCGGACCTGCGACAGCAACCAAGGAGCATTCCTCATCTGTTGGAGACGAGGCTTGGAAGCAGTCGTTGACTGTCGCAGTTGCGCCCAAGGAGCATTCGTCCGCCGACACGGATGGGGCCAGATAGTGTTACTTTTTTCCGGGTCTTGGACATGCTCTGGCTTGATGGTGATCCACGTCATGGGCTCGTTGCGAGCTTAGGATCCAGAGAAGAAAGTCCCGAGTCGTACGGCTAGGATTCAGCTGAGGCACCAGGCAAGCTGGTGTTGTTCTGAATTTTCGATGCAGATGTTTTCGTACATCGCATAACCAGTGAGCTGCCTCAACTCCTCTAGACCGAGGTACGTCTTTTTGGAGTTGCCGTGGCTCACGCTCGGGTACAGCCGCTGCAATTTGTGCATGTGCTTGGTGAGCTTTAGGTGCATAAGTCGGTACGGCGGTGGTACCCAGGTGCGCTGGCAAACGACGTGCTTTGTCCAGAAGCACAACGCCTCGCGGTACTGGACCAGGGAACCATACTTGATGTGGTCGCCTGGAACTCCCGAGCGTGGGACGGCTTTCAGGTGGACAAAGCCAAGGAACTTTCTGAGTCTCTAAAATAGCGTATCCCAGTCCCTTGGGGATGCCGCTTCCATCAGCTCCTCATGAGAGCTGTGTCGAAAATCCACTCGAAGTAGGGTGCCTCCTAGGAAGTTCAAGTACGTTTCGAGGATTCGGTCCTGGCGCCTCTGGCGCGATTGGGACTGTGTGCGGAACGCGTCGGCCGGAGCTTCGACAGTTTTAAGCTGGTCCAAGAGATCTAGGAGCTCTTGATCATCGTCTTTATACTTGTCCATTTCAGCTGCCTGTTCGCGGACCGACTTCTTTTTGGAGGGCATATTGGCCGATCCAATGCGTACGGGACCAGGGCCGTTCGACGGTGATGAGTCTCCAGGCCGCCCTTGAGAATTGATGCGTCTGACAGTAATGGCCCTTGGGGAAAAGGCGGTCGTTTGGCGTTACCGGAGGCCCTCGCTGTCAGAGTATACAGAGACTTCTGGCGCGGCGATGAGCGTTGTAGTCGGAGACGGGGGTCTTCTGGCTGACAATTTCCCAGCGGTCGGCGTAAACGAGTTCAATCGAGGTCTGGAGATCGGTCAGTACATGTGGCACCAAGAGTCTGTTGGTCGGGTAATTCTGTACCAACCGGCGTCCGTCGTGGGCTGACCTCGTCCTCTGGTGCCTGGTCCAGCGAAGATGAGTAGGCCTTGGGGTCCTAGCTGTTGGCGGGCGAGCAAGAGGTGCTCTTGTCGCCACGGGATTGAATTGGTCGAAAATCTGGAGGTCGATCGGAATTGGGTTACACTAGAGTCCCGTTGGGCGAGTAGAAGCTTACCAAGCGGCGTGATCAAGCTGTTCAGCAGCCGGTACTTGGCGCCTGGGCCGGCGAAGGCGAGCAGTCTTGAGAGTCCTGGCTCTCGGCGGCTTGCAACGCTTGATCGAGAATCTGGAGGTCGATCAGCACTGGGCTACACCAAAAGCCCTGTGGAGCGAGTAGAAGCGTACAACACGGCGTGGTCAAGATTTTAAATGGCCAGTCCTTCGGCGCCTGGGCCGTGGAAGATGAGCAGGCTTCAGAGGTCTGGCTGTCGGCGGCTTTGGAGGTGCTTGTAGCGTCCAAAGACCAGAGGTCCGGCGAAGAGACGCGACCGACAGTGGTGGTGCGGAAGCAGTAGAGGTGGTGAGGTGGTGAGAGGTGGAGGAGGAAGAGGATGGGGGAGAGTTGGGGCAGAGTTTGGGAAGAGATGGGGCTGCGGTGGGTTGGGGAGTTGCAGGATGAGGAAGTCGCACTCGCACCACCCACGAGACTTCCCCTTCTGGTGACTGCCCAGCACCCGGCGCGCTGTGACTCTCTCTTAAGCTCTCTTCTCACTCCTCTCTCTCTTCCCAGACGTCTACTTCTCCAACTCTTCTCAACCTCACCCAAAGCCCAGTCCCAGCTCTTCAGAGTGCACCCTACTCTGCCGCTTGAGCCTCGTCGTCTCCATCACCTCACCTCCAGCCGTCCTCAGCTTCGTCGGCCGTCTTTCCTGGTCCTTCAGGCCCATCGTTGCCCGCGAGCCTAATTGTCGTCGCCGGTTAAGCTCAACGGCCTCCACTCAAGCCTTCTCGCCGCCGCCGCAAACGGCTCATCCTTGAAGCCCTTCAGAGCACAAGTCTTCTGGCATCGCGGACGCAGGTGAATCAGCCGCATCTCTCGGTATGTCGCTCACCAGGCCGTGCCACTGAAGCATCCGTCGCTGATCAAGTCCAGATTCGTCCTTGAAGGTCGCTGCCCTCAACCAAGCTCCATATCTTTCAAGCTGCAGACAGCCAGGCCTTAACCTCAAGCACGATCATCGTTACCGGCTCAGGTGAAGCGGCCAAATCTACCAGTCTGTCAACCACAAGATCTTGCCACCAAGGCATCCGCCGCTGGAAACGACCAGATTCGTCCTTCGAGGTCACCATTCACAAGTACCATCTCTTCCAAGCGTCGGCGCCGTCCCGGCCTCAGCATTCAGCAAACCAAACACCAGCCCTCAAAGCCCACCGCAACCCTCTCAAGCCGCCGTCCGCGCCGTCCTGGCCTAAGCAGCCGGCCAACAACACACCCTCACAGCCCGTCGCGCTCAAGCAACAAGCTCACCCAGGTCGGTCTACTCAAGGACTCGTCGGCGCTAAACGCTCCCTTCTCTGATTCAAAAATTTTGGTCCACGCCCAAAGGACTTTTCAAGAAAGCAACCATGGCCAATGAGACACCAGAAGAGCGCCAGACGAGCCAGACCATGACAAGCTCGACGATCTTAGGCGGCGCGGCAGCCTCGGCCAGTCCATCCCGAGACTGGCTCATGTTCAAGGACCCGAGCAAGTTGTCGGCGTCAGATGTCGTCATTCAGAACAGTCTGGGCGTTCTAGCCTTGAAAATGGACAAACTTGCCGAGAATCAGGCCAGACTCGGAGACTTGCTCCAACAAATGCTGGAGAAGCAGATTATCAAGGACGACTCGGGCGAGGAAGAAGACGATGA